GGCGCCCGGCTGTTCGGGTGGCTGCGAGAGCGCAGCCTGGGCCGCGGGCTGTTCGTGGACCCGGCGCGGGACAATTTCCGCACCATGACGAACCTCTACGGCTCCATTCACCCCGCCGACTCCGTGTACCTCAGCACCCGGACCCACGGCGCGGTCTTCAACCTCGAGTACTCCCCTGACGGGTGAGTGGGCCCTGGACTAGGCCCAGGGTGGGGGTGGGGGCGCCGCCAGCCCTAGGCGCGCGCCCGCGAGCCCGCGCGCCCGTCCTCACGCGCTTTACTCCATTAGCCTGCTGACGGGCCCCAAGGAGTGCCCAAAGCCACAAGCAGCTTGTCCGAGCCAGCACGCATTCAGCTTGCCCGGCACACAGTAGGTGCTCTATAAATGCCTTTGGAATCAATTCCAAATCTTGCCTCCATCCTTTTACCTGCTGCCAGCAGGTCAGTCCATTCTGGCCCGCATAGTCCCGGTGCCATGTGCCTGGCGTGCCCTGAAGGAAGGGTGAAGTGGGCCCAACTCAGACTGGTATCTCAGGGTTTTGGGTGGGGAGGGGCTGTGCAGTTCCCAAGGAACCTCGACGGGGCTGTAGGATAAGCGTTGGACTGCTGGCTGTAAGTCCAAGGTTAAACCCCACTGGTGGCTTTTCGGGAGAAAGCAAGACTGTCTGCTTCCATAAAGATTTGCAACCCTATCCAGGATCGAGGAGTCCTGAGTCGGAATGGAAACAATGGCATGGGTTTGGGTTTTGGTTTTGTGAAGTTCCCAAGCTAGTGGGTGGCCAATGTTGTTAAGTGACTGTTCCGACTCATATCTATGTGAACAACACACCACCACTCAGTCCTGCGCCATCCTTACAATTGTCATGTTTGAGTTCATGGTTGCAGCCACTGTGTTCATCCATCTTGTCCCTCCACGTTACCAAACCTACTGTCTTTCTCCAGGGACTGGTCTCTCCTGATACGTCTAAAGTACGTCGTGAGACAGTCTCATCATCCTTGCCTCTACGGAGGATTCTGGCTGTACTTCTTCCAAGACAGATCTGTACATTTGGCAGTGTATGGTACTTTTCTCTTTTTTGGGGGGGTACTTTCAATATTCTTTGCCAACATGTCAATTGATTCAAACGAATCAATTCTTCTGCAGGCTTCTTTACTCAGTGTCCAACTTTCACATGCACATGAGGCAATTGAAAATACCATGGCTTGAATCTGGTGAACCTTAGTCCTCAAATTAAAGGCCTTGTTTTTCAACACTTTAAAGTGATCTCGTGCAGCAGATTTTACCCAGTGCAATGTGTTCTTTGACTGCAGATGCAGATAGGCTTCTATAATGGGTAACCAGCATTTTCTTTTCTCTGATGATTAAACAGTTTTTTCATGTTTGGCTTACATTTACTGTGGACAGTGGACAATTTTCATAGTATGTATTTGAAAACATACGTCTTTAGTACACAGGCAAGTTTAACAACTTTCTCTCACTATCATTGAGTCATAGTCATGCCAACTCGTAGTGACCCAATGGGACAGGGTACAATTGTCCCTGTGAGTTTCTGACAGAGCTGGGTTCACAGTAGTTTAACAGCAGTCAAAAGGGGAAAAAAGTATATACATAAATTGTGAGACAAAAGTGGTGTTGTGGTTAGGTGCCATCAGTCAATTCCAACTCATAGCAACAAAACGAAACACTGCCCATCCTGTGCCATCCCCACGATGGTTGCTCTGTTTGAGTCCATTGTTGTAGCCACTGTGCCAGTTCATCATGATGCTGACCCTCTGCTTTACCAAGCATGAGGTCCACTTCTCCAGGTCACATTCTTTTTTTTAAATCATTTTATTGGGGGATCTTACCTCTTATCACAATCCATACATCCTTGCATTGTGTCAAGCACATTTGTACATATATTGCCATTATCGTTTTCAAAACATTTTCTTTTTACTTGAGCCCTTGTTATCAGCTCATTTCTACCCCTCCCTCATGAACCCTTGATAATTTGTGAATTATTATTTTGTTATGTCTTACTTAGACTGACTGCTGTCGCTCTTCATCCACTTTTCTGTTGCTCATCCTCCTGGGACGAAGTTATATGTCAATCATTATGATTGGTTCCCCCTTTCTCCACCCACCTTTCCTTACCCTCCTGGTATCACTACTCGCATTATTGGTCCTGAGGACTTGATCTGTCCTGATTTCCCTGTGTTTCCAGCTCTTAGCTGTACCTGTGTACATGCTCTGTTATAGCCAGATTTGTAAGATAGAATTGGGGTCATGATAGTTGGGGGGAGGGAGCATTAAAGAACTAGAGGAAAGTTGCATGTTTCATCATTGCTTTACTGTACCCTGACTGGCTCATCTCATTCTTGTGACCCTTCTGTGAGGGGCTGTCCAATTATGTACAGATGGGCTTTGGGTTTCCACCCCACCTTCCCCCTCATTCACATTGATATTCTTTGTTCTGGGTCTTTGATGCCAGATACCTGATCCCATCAACACCTCATGATCACACAGGCTGGTGTGCTTCTTCCATGTGGGCTTTGTTCCTTCTCAGCTAGTTGGCCGCTTGTTTACCGTCAAGCTTTTAAGACCCCAGATGCTATATATTTTGATAGCCAGGCACCATCCACTCTTTTCACCACGTTTGCTTTGTACCCATTTTGTCTTCAGCAACTGTGTTGGGAAGGTGAACGTCACAGAATGTCCAGGTCACATTCTTATTGGAGTTCCAAGTTGGAGTTTTTTCCTTCTGGCAGTTCATGTTATATTCACTGTTCATCAACACCAGAATTCAAAGGCATCAATTCTTGGTCTTCCTTATCCATTGTCAAGATTTGGCATGCATAGGAGTCGGTTGAGAATACCATGCCTTGCGTTAGGCGCACTGTAGTCCTCAAAGTGTTGTCTTTGCTCTCTAACACTTTAAAGAGGCCTTTGGCAGAAGATCATAGTGACCTGATAGGACAGAGTAGAACTACTCCTGTGGGTTTTGGAGACGGTAACTCTTTATGGGAGTAGAAAGCCTCATCTTTCTCCTGAGGAGCAGTTTGTGGTTTCAAACTACTTAGCTTGTGGTTAGCAGCCCAGCACTGCTATTGGGTCGTGATGAGTCAGAATTGGCACCATGACAGTGAGTTTGAGAGTTTTTTAGGGGGTGGGGGAATGCAGGGCAGACAGCAGATTTGACCACTGCAATATGTTACTTGATTTCTTGACTGCTTTTACCATAGGTGTTGATTGTAGATTCAAGTAAAATAAAACTCTTCGTACCTCCAATTTTTTCTTCATTTATCATGATGTTGTTTATTGGTCCATTTGTGAAGATTTTTGTTTTCTCTGTGTTGAGGCATAATCCATACTGAAGGCTGTAGTCTTTGATCTTCATAGGTGCTTCTAGTACTCTTCAATTTCACCAGGCATGCTTGTATCATCAACATATCACGGATTGCTAATGAGCTTCCCTCCAATTCCTGATGCTGCATTCTAATTCTAGAAGTAGGACAGAATGAAGAAAAATGCAGCGAGGCAATATGGTTAATACAAGATCAAGGGTAAAATCTACATTGCTTAGTTCAGTCATTCATTCACTCGTTCATTCTCTCATTTAGGAAGCAATTGTTTAGCATTTGATGTTTCAAATTGAAGAGTAACAATAGTGAGCAAAACCATGTTAGAATACTGGCATGCTTTCATGGAACTCGGATGCATGCCCTGGTGGTGTAGTGGGTTATATATTTGAGCTGCTAACTGCAAAGTCAGTAGTTCAAAACCACCAGCCGCTCTGCAGTAGAAAGATGAGGCTTTCTGAAACTCCCATAAAAAGTTCCTGTCTCAGAAACCTACAGGAAGCAGTTCTACTTTGTCCTTTAGGGTCTGTCCATTAGGGTCCTGTGAGTCAGAATCAATTCAATGGCGGGGGCTTTATGGAGTTTAGTTAGGACCTCCGGGTTCAACTAGATATTTGTTAGATAATCATACATAATAAGACAATACATATTTACTGGTTGGAATAGATGGTTTGAAGGAATCTATGTGGAATAGGATGTTCCAGGATTTACTCTAGAATGAGTCAAACTTTTTGAAGGCTATTTACTTATTTTTAAAAGTTTTATTGGCATATAGTTTACAATTATTATAATTCAATACTTCAATCATACTAAAAGAAGTTGAACGATCTATTTTACATTTTCTTCTGTCTTGTATTCGTTATTAGTAGCTGCCCATTTCCCCCCAAGAAACCAATAATATAATTACTATCTATATCAGCGGTTCTCAACCTGTGGGTCGTGATCCCTTTTGGGGGGTGTGTGTGTCAAACAACCCTTTCACAGGGGTCGCCTGATTCATAACAGTAGCAAAATTACAGCGATGAAGTAGCAATGAAAATAATTTTATGGTTGGGGGGTTTAACACAACATGAGGAACTGTATGAAAGGGTTGCGCCGTTAGGAAGGTTGAGAACAACTGATCTATATATTTACCTATCCTAGATTTCATGTACAGGAAAACATTAAAAAACCAAGTAAAACAAAAACCTCAATCAAAAAGAAAACAAAATATTAGAAACTAGAACATTTAAATTAGGTCAGAATGAAGATCAAATGATAAGGCGTGAAGTTTTCACCTAATTAGTCTGCATTAATCCATTTATCAATGCACTCTATGAAAGCAAGGCTATTCACATTCCTCTTCTCTGGGCAGAACGAATTCACTGGAGGCTTAATCCATGTGTATTTCCTCTTCACTTTTTTTTTTCTAACTGAAACAACTTTAAAATGGGTCAAAGGGGAGATTTAATGATAAGACATTACATTTTAACCTAACTACTTCTGCCATAATCGCCTTTACGATGCTCGTCTGATAGCAAGATAATTCACATCCCTTGACTGTGGTCCAGGTCCAGGGGGATTCACCAGAGTCTTAGTTTATATGTAGACCCTGCAAATGGATTTTGAGCTTAGGCTATTGCCCTTCTGCAAACTGGTTACTCAACAATTTAAGCTCTGAGACCATTCCCTCCTTTGATTTGGATTTTATTATTTACAATCCATGGATCACGGACTGGTGTGCAAGAACCCTTGACTGTGGTCCAGGTCCAGGGGGATTCACCAGAGTCTTAGTTTATATGTAGACCCTGGGAATGGATTTTGAGCTTAGGCTATTGCCCTTCTGCAAACTGGTTACTCAACAA